GAAGAATTTCCTTAGACTCCAACTGGTGTTGATCTTGCTCTCAAAATGCCAAAAATCAACACCCTTGAGTGATTAAAAATTTAAGCTTTAACGTAGTCTTGGAGAAGTTTGAAAACATTTTTTAACATGAGGTGATTAAAAATCAATATCTGAGCTGGGTTAGACACATGTCATTTCTCAAGCAATCTCTCTATGAAAAAAATCATAAACTCTAAATTTTAAACCTCGAACCAAAAAAATAAACTAAAGTTGTGAAAAAGTCTAGTAGAGTTTTCTACGGAGCTGGTTCGAAACAAAAAGAAACCCCAAAATGGATGCCTTCTACATGGTTGAGTATTGGGAATTATGCGAGTGTGTATGGTGGTGGGTGGTGATCGATGATGGTGACAGAACCGATACTTGGAGATGATGAATGGATTTAAGGACTAGAGATTTTAAAAGCTTGGGGTGATTTTAAAATTTTAGAAATATTTTGAGAGTTTTGTTTTAATATTTGAGAAAAATATGAGGATTTTTCTAAAAATATATATACCATTTTAAGTTTTTTTTATTTAATATTTTTAAAATTTATAAATATGACATATGTAATTTAACAACGATTTTTAACTGTTGTTACAGTTGAGGAACCGAAAGTGACAACGTTTCTAACATTAGGTATCTAAATGATTTAAAAAATAGTTTAGGCACCTATCTGTAAAATAGGTATATTTTGGGCTCTCATTTTATAATTAAGCCTGTTTCTTTTGGAAAACTTCTTTTAGGGTAAATTGCACTCATAACCACAAGAAGATCTTAAATTGACAACCAATCTTTCAATATTTAAAATTAGACTATTTAATTATTTAAATGATGTCAATCAAATCAACGCCATTAACCTTTGGCAAGGAAAATTGCGTGTCAGTTAATAAAATTTATATAATTATACATACAATTCTTAATACTTATAAATTTCATCAATTTAGTCCTAATTTTAATTTAATTCAATAAATCTAATCTTTCAATCAAATAGTGATGTGTCAACTTCTTTCTTCAAATTAGGTTAAAATGATCAATCTCATAATGAATTTTATGCAGTATTCAGTTTGAATTAGTTGACCATACGAGGATTATAAAAAAAAGCTTACATTAAGCATAAACCCCAATGTATTATAATTATATTATATATACCCTAACTAAAGTTATAAGAGAGATTTATTGAGGCACAAGAAATATACATTCTTCTTCTGAGATCTGTAAAGTAATCAGCAACTTCCCATCATGTGTTTTGTAAAGGTAAAAAAATCAGGTGTATTGGATTGTTCTATGAAGTATGGCATGGAAAATATATAGAATTTCTGGATTTTGGCTTGAGCATCAAATGCAGATGCAAACTCAGAACAGAACAGAACAGAACAGATATTCAATGTTCAATCACCATCTTCAGAATAGAAGCAGTAATGCAGTACTCATTGTTAATATTATGGAGCAGGAGCCAAACCAACCGAAAACTCGAATTTCCTGTGAAAATTCACATCAAAGAAAATACAATGGAATAGGAAGGTAAAAGAACATACTGCAGCAATTTTATACTTCCAACTGTAATGAATATAGAAGCTACTGATCGGTCCCAAAGGCGTACAACTAAATTCGAATCCGTATTGTGATTCGTGTTATTAAGAAATCAATCCGGAGGTACAGTGTATGAATGCAGTACTGGCAAGTAAAATACTACACAACATATGGCATTAAGATGCTTCTTATTGAAGTTAGTGCGTCAGGTTTAGCATTGGTGGAACGGGCTAACGGCATGATTGTTCGGTTGGTAACACAGGATGAAGCAGAACTCCGGTTAGGCCTGTAAACGAACCGAACGTTCAATGAACCGTTCGTGAACCGTTCGGCGGGAAGTTCGTTTATGTTCGTTTATTTATTAAACGAATGAACCTGAACAAGATTTGTGTTCGTTTAATTAAATGAACAAACACGAACAAAGAGTTCGTTCGTTCATTTACGTTCGTGAATGTTCGATAATATGTTCGTTTATGTTTTATCATTTATGTTCGTTTATGATCGTTCATTTATGTTCTTTTATGTTCGTTCGTTTATGTTCGTTTATTAGCCTAATTTCTCTATGCCCATTTAAAAATATTAAATCTCAATAAATTTTAATCTGATACCCATAAATATTTTAAAATTCATTTAATTTTAAATACAAATTAAAAAAAGCCCAAAACAATCAAATAAAATATAATCCTAAAATTGTTGGGAAATAAAAAAATATATTTTCGTTTACGTTCGTTTATGTTCATTTATTATGTTCGTTCGTTTGTTATCGTTTATGTTTGTTTACATCCGTTAGTTCATTTGCGTTCGTTTATCATTTAAATGAACGAACATGAACAAACACAAACAATCTACATTCCTTAACGAACGAACAAAACAAGAAATTTTTTGTTCATTTATGTTCGTGTTGGTTCATTTGTTCGTTTAAAGTTAAACAAACGAACATGAACATACCTCCGTTAGTGTTCGTTCGGTTCGTTTACAGGCCTAACTCCGGTCGCAGGTAATTTCTGGAAATAGTTAGACTGCATTGGTTTGGCCTAGTGACACTGGCATTTCTGATAACAAATTGACACACCTATGGCTATTTGGCATCTTGCCAGCATCATATGAACAATCAAGTAACATAAATTTCAAGGTTGGGAGAAAACATCGTACCTTCAAAGGCGGCAATGATGAATCTGCGGACGAAGATTTAAGTCCCTTAAACCCGATGTCGTATGATATGCTCCCATCGGGTTTAAACAGTCCAAAATTCCTCTCAGAAGTTGGTCCAGGCTTCATATTCTCATTAAAGATTGCAAAAACGTATGCCTTGACCACATTTTTTGGTCTGAGTGGTGTTCCTTTCATCTTCGCAAGCCTTTTCCGCAAATTGTAATTATATGTCCGTGCATTACTTGCAGTCGCCGCAGCTTCGTTCTCATCACCGTGTGAAGCCCATCCGGTTTCGGTGATGATGACTTCCATCTTTCCAAATCCGGCATTTTCTAACGCAGCATATGCTGCATCGATCTGAGCATCAAGCAGGTTATCATAATGCAACTTAGTTTTCGGATCATCTGCTCCTTCTGTTGGTAGGAAGAGAGCATAATTGATATCAATTTGGTCTTTATTATACATGTAGGCTAGAAACGGGTAAGCATTTAAACAGAACGGCGACCCGATTTGTGAAAAAAACTCTAAGAGTGGCTTCATGTACTGAACAACATTATCTTTGAATGCACCCGATGGAGGGAAGGTCTCACCAAAAACAGCCTGTGAATGAGCCGTGGTAACCTGAACCACATGACTTAATTTAAGCTTATCTAATGCATTGTAAACGTTCTTAACCGCGCCCAGAAGAAATCCCGAAAATTCGTCACTCCCTCCTAAGACTTCATTCCCTATAGCGATCCCACGAATCTGCGTATAGGGAAGATACTCCTGCACGTTGTCCCTGACCCAATTCATAGCATGATCTGCATTAGCACTCCCAGCTCTGTCCCACTGAATGCTTCGATGACACTGTGATTAAAATCATAAATCCGAACATTCTTTATTTTCGACGACCTAAGAAGTGTGACGACTTCATTCGGTGAGAGTATGTTATTTGCAATTCTTCCATAGTTAATGCCGTACGTTCCGGTGAATGCTTGCGCAGACACAGCTGCTGGAGAAAAGATTAAAAAAACAACCTCTTGATCAGCCATCAAATGTCTTAAGCACAGATGCTTGAAGTCACATGAATGTTATGCACTAGTAAACCATCTCCATGGATCAAAGTTCAATCGAAGAAAACCTCTTATTTCGACGAGACTCTAATCGAAACATTATCCACTGATTTCCTATTTACTCTACTACCTAACAAGACACAATACATTCAAATCCAAATCCAAAGAGCAGCTTCTTAGTTGAAGTAAACCATCTCCATGGATCAAAGTTCAATCGAAGAAAACCTCTTATTTCGACGAGACTCTAATCGAAACATTATCCACTGATTTCCTATTTACTCTACTAACCCTAACAAGACAACAATAGCATTCAAATCCCAAAATCCAAGCAAAAGAGCAGCTTCTTAGTTGACAACATCTATACTTTCACCATAGCTTAAACTCAACAAAACATAAGAATAACCAAAATCAAGAAACTATGAATCCAATTCATATAAAAGGTGAAGTTTCATCAGACTCATACAACAACCCACTGCCCATTTAAATTTTAAAACCCATTTAAATTTTAAAACTAATAAATAAATAACCTAAACTAATGTAAACTTTTCACACCCCCGAGCTTTCGCCTTTCATCAGCTCATTCCTTCTCTCTCTATCTCTCTCTCAGTCTCTCTAATCTCGATTCAGGTTAGTTTTCTAACTTAAAAATTCTAGATTTTCTCTTTGATTAGTTTACATCTCTCCTTAAAATTTTAATCACTTGTTTGATTTAGGGTTTGTGATTTGATATCGTTTTTGTGTTTAGGAATTAGCATAAATTGTCAGAGGCCTGGCGAATTTCAACTTTCTTTCCAATTGCATATTTACCCAACTTCTTTACAATCCAAATGAGAATGAGCTTTAGTAATTAAATGGTATTTAAGTTCCTTTGGAAAAGTAAAAAGCGGGCCACCACAGAATTTGAAAATTGAAGTCCAGTGGTCTAACAAGTAAAACAATGACAAAACTAAATATTTTTTATGCAAATTGAAAATTTTGAGGGTAAAGCGATAATTATAATGAACAAGTAGGGAACCATTTGCTTTTATCCTTTTTCCCTGTATTTGGTTTATTTATCACTCCAGTGTAAATATTCTACTTGATATTTTTGGTGTCAGTCTTTAAATAGTCATTCGTGAAATGTATTCTTTTGTAATAAAAAAATGGTATTTAGTTATGCTTTCTGATTTATTTTGAGTTATGTTATCTTAATGTGATTATTTATTACTTTTTTTTACTTCTCATATTTTGCTGTAGATATCCAATATGGCAGCATCTGCTAAGGGAAGTGTTTCACCCCCTTTATCAAATTCTACAAATTCAACGACTGAAGCTTCAAGTCAAATCAACAACACAAGAGGGACTGCAAGTAAACGGAAAGCTATTCCTTTAAGGTCAGAAGTATGGACTCACTTTACTAAGTTTTTAAATAGTGAGGGTAAAGGCAAGGGTAGATGCAATCATTGTGAGAAAGAATTTTGTTGTGATGGGAAAAAAATGGAATTGGCTCATTAATATATCACATGAAACAATGTAAGAAAAATCCTAACAACATTGACACTAATCAAAGCAATTTAGTGTTACCTAGTAAGGATATTCGAGGAGAAGTAGGACATCTCACAACTTGGAAATTTGATCAAGAAACAACTAGAAAGGTTTTAGCCCAAATGATTGTGACTGATGAATTGCCTTTCAAGTTTGTTGAGAGTGAAGGATTTAGAAAATTTATGTCTGTAGCATGCCCCAAGTTTCGTATTCCTTCAAGATTGACTATAACTAGAGATATTTATCAGTTGTACTTGGATGAAAGGACTAAGCTGAAACAATATTTAAGAATTTCATGTTCTAGAGTTTGTTTAACTACTGATACGTGGACCTCTATGCAAAGAGTTAATTATATGTGTCTCACTGTGCACTTTATTGATAACGATTAGAAATTGAATAAGAAAATCATAAGTTTTTATCCAATTTCTAGTCATAAAGGAGATGCAATTGGGCTGATGATTGAAAAATGCTTATTAGATTGGGGGATTGATAAGTTGTTCACTGTCACCGTTGACAATGCAACTTCGAATGATGTTGCTATTGGTTATTTAAGAAAGAGATTTAGTCCTCGAGGGGGTTGCATTGCAAATGGTAAATATTCATATAAGATGTATTGCACATATTGTGAATTTGATTGTTGTTGAAGGTTTAAAGGAAATGAACAAATCTGTTGCACGTGTTAGGGGGGCTGTGAAATATGTGAGACAATCTCCAGCTAGATTGAAAAAGTTCATGGAGTGTGTTGAGATGGAAAAAATTGAGAGCAAAAAAATGTTATGTCTTGATGTTTGTACTAGGTGAAACTTTACATATTTAATGTTAGACACTGCTGAAAAATTTGAGAGAGCTTTCGAGAGATTTGAGGAGCAAGATACAAATTTTAGGGCTGAACTTGAGTTAGGAGAGGGCTGGCCAACTGTAAATGATTGGACTTGTGTTAGAAACTTGAGGGATTTCTTGGAACATTTTTATGAAGTCACTTTGCGAGTTTCAGGTACTTCATATGTCACATCTAACAATTTTTTTGATGAACTTACTGAAATTTGCATACTTTTAAGGGATGTTCAATTAAGTGCTGATGTTGAATTTAGTGTTATGGCCATGAGGATGAAAGATAAATTTGAGAAATATTGGGGTGATATTGAGAAGATGAATATGCTTGTTTTTGTTGGCTGTGTTTTAGATCCTAGGCAGAAATTAAGTTATCTTGAATTTGCACTTAATGAGATGTATGATTCAAAAAAAAGTTTTGAAGTGATGCAAAAGCTGAAAGAGACTTTGAATGAATTGTATGATGAGTATAAGTCTCGAGTCTCTAGTGATGGAAACCATTTAAATGTGAGAATTTCTGAACCGCAACAAAAAGTGAAAAGACGCATGAAAGATTTGTATAAAAGGCGTGTGATTGAAATTGGTGGTGAGGATCAAACATCTGAATTAGATAAATAGGGGAGGCTGTTGAGAATTATGATGATGAATTTGATATCTTGTCATGGTGGAAAGTCAATAGCCCTAGATTTCCAGTTCTGTCAAATATGGCCAAAGATGTATTAGCTATACCGCTTTCTACCGTCGCTTCAGAGTCTGCATTTAGTACCGGTGGACGTGTGCTTGATCAATTTAGGAGTTCTTTAACTCCTAAAATGGTACAAGCTCTTGTGTGTACTCAAGACTATATTAAAAAGTCATCAACCGAAGAGGATATCAAGAAGTTTGAAGAACAAATTCAAGAGCTTGACAAGATTGATAATGGTATGTTGATTCTTTATTAATTAATTTTAATTTAATAAGTGAATTTACTTTGAGGAGAATTGACACAACATTAATTGATTTAATCATTTTAACTTTTAGATTTATCTTGGAATGCATTACAACCTACCCTCAATTCATGAGCTCATAGGATTCTGCACTGCAGCACTGTGAGTATGACTGTATGAGTTGAAGGGTATGCATTGATTGTAAATTGCATTATTGCAATGTATTTTTTAATTTATATATATGTTTTTTTATACTGTATTTTTAGATTTAAAATAATATCTTTTTCTTGTAGAGATAATGCAAATGGAATTTTTTTTGGGAGGATTCAGTTGGTGCAAAAGGAGTATTTTGAATACTGTTTTTTTGTGGTAATTTCTTCCCTTACATTCATTTTTAATAAGAGCTTCATCAACCTGAAATAAGATTGTATTACATTAGATTGAGTTAGCTTAGCACTTATAATTTTAGCATTGGTTGATACTTAATAGATATATTTGATGTTTATACCTTGGATTGTTTTTATTGTTTTTGATAGATCGAACTGAATTTTGCATCTCTTTATTTTTATATTGTGCACTGTGCATGTAATATGTTCTCTTATGATATGAATTATTCTGCACTTGATAGAGAACATCTTGGTTGGTATGGCAGCATCAGTAAACAACTTAGTAGTTAGCACAACCTTCTTCATGCACCAACACTTAAATTGTAAACTGTTTGTATACTGAATTATGCTTGGTTTGTATACTGAATTATGCTTCCAGTTCTGCATTCTGCACTTTGTTCTGATTTATTTGGTAGAAGTGCAATATTGTTGGTTATTTTTGAACTAAATTGATAGATACAAATATCTTATTTTAATATAATGTTTGAATCAAATTAATTAGATATTGTAAACTGTTTTTTAATTAAAAAAATATTAAATTCAAAAATTTTAAAAAATTTTCGATTAATTCAAAAATTAACCGAATTAACCGAAATTTGTTCGGTTCGGTTAATTTTTTCATAAAAAAGTTCGATTCGGTTAATGGTTAAAGAATTTTTTTTTTGATTAATTCGGTTATGGTTAATTCGGTTCGATCGGCCACCGTTTTAACCGAATGAATACCCCTAGGTGAGTTGGTGTCTTGCTTTAATTCGTTTGTTATTGGTCAATGCTTACTTGCCATTTCTCAAGTTTTGAACTTTGGTTTTTTACCCACTAGCTTTCCTCTTAGGCTGTCACACGCGCCAAATGTGGGAAGAATTGTTTTTGGGTAAAGTAAACAAATGGTCCCCAAACTATAAAGTATTCTTTATTCATTCCTTCAACTATTAAAAAATTATAAAATAGTTCATAGACTATATGATACTGTTTTGTTAAGTCCCCAACTATTATAAGTTACAAAATGGTTACCAGACTATTCATATCATTTTTCGTTAAAAAATTAATAGTCGTCTGAGTTGAACGTTTAATCTATTGACTGACATATGAATAAAATCAGACTCAAAAATTATTTGAGTTGTATTTTATGGATTGATTCTCCTTTTACTTATGTCATTGAGTCAGTGCTTGAAACTTTATGACGTCGAACCAATAATTAAAAGCAATAGTCGTGCTCGTAGACATCACTAAAATATAATTTTTATTATGTCTAAGTCAACAGATTAAAGTCCAACTCAAAAAGCCATTAGTTTTTTAACAAAAAATGATGAGTTTGAAACATATGAATAATCGAGTAATCATTTTATAACTTTTAATAGTCAAGAGACTCAACAAAATAACACCATATAATCGGGAATTATTTTGTAACTTTTAATTGTTAGGAGACTCGACAAAATAACTCTATAATCAGGGATCATTTGTGTACTTTACCCTTGTTTCTTGGCTCAAGGGTAAACTACTCCGACAGTCCATAAATATTTAAAGACCTTGCACTTTTGTTACTGAACTTTTAAAAATCACGCTAGAATCACTGAATTTTTTTAAGGAATATGTTTACAATTGTTATATCTAATATAAATATTAGGGTAAACTATGTATTTAGTACATAAAATTTCACTTTTAGTACGTTTTAGTACCCAAACTTTCAATTTTTACAAAATATACCTAAAGTTTAATTTTTTTTCTTATTTTAATATCCACTGTTAATTGCCGTAAAAAATTAACGACTGAGTTGAAGTGACATTTTTAAATTATTTTTATTATTTAAATTCTTATTTAATTAGTCTTATTCAACTAATACGTGTGACCACCATATTAGAAATGGAACAAAAGGAAAATCTCCTTAAATGACTTGAACCCGGGCATCCTTGGGCGCCTAACCATCTAGACTAGGCAGAACACTGAGATTAATTTGCTGAAATTTGTATTTAACTTATATAAACTATAACTATAAAATAAAAGAAAGTTATTAGTTCTATTATTTGAACTTAAGGAATTTTATTTTATTTATTTTATTTTAAATTGAAATGATAAATTATTTAATTTTAATTTAATATTTTACAAGTTAAATAATAATTTTGGTATGTATTACATCAATTCTTAATCTGATTTATCGGTTAAATGTTTGAATATTTTTTTGATATGTCTTAAGTTCAAATAATAGATCTAATAAAGTTCTTTCATTTTATAGTTATAATTTATATAAGTTAAATACACATTTCAGCAAATTAATCTCAATGTTATGCCTAGCCTAGATGGTTGGACGCTCTTCTTTGTTCCAAGAATGCCTGGGTTTTAATTCTGGCAGTCTCCTTTAAGGGGATTTTTCCTTTGTTCCATTTCTAATATGGTGGTGATACTTATTAGTTGAATAAAATTAATTAAATAATAATATAAAAATTAAGAAAATAGTTTAAAAATATCACGACAGTACTGCCGTTAAGTTTTTAACGGCGATGTACTAAAATGGAATAAAAATTAAATTTTAAGTATGATTTTATAAAAATTAAAAGTTCAAATATGAAAACATACCAAAAGTGAAGCTTTAGGTATTAAATGTGTAGTTTATCCTAAATATTAAAACAGTATAGTGTTTGATGACATAAGATAAGTACTTAGTATAAAAATAATTGAACTTTGAATTTTACAAACAAAATTAAAATACTATCACATCCTTTTAATTAATATGAAATGTAAAAAGACTCTTAGTAAAATTAAAAAACTCAGTATCGTAGTTTTAAATAATAATTCAATGAATTATTATTATTTTTAAAAAAAAAAGGCAATTCATTTTGATAACCCTAATTTTATTTTATATAATCCAAAAATATAAAAAGATTTTATTTATATAGTACAAGAATTGTCCCTAAAAAATAAAAGAATCATTTTAACTCTTATTTTTTTAAAACACTTTATCATTCAATATTTCATTCTGAAAATAAAAAACCTTTTTGTTGAGTTAATCGATTGACGGAATTGGCCAAGAGGGGGTGAATTGGCAATTAAAAATTTGGTGGAAGCTTTTGCAGAAAATTGAAAGTAATTGCACAGCGATTTAGAGTGGTTCGACTTTCTCAATCAAAGTCTACGTCCACTACCTTAGCTATCCACACTAAGGATTTTCTAACAAATTTATTAATTTGTTCTTTCTTTTGAGGCCAAAGAGATAACCTTACAACACCCTCAAGAATATACCCCAATTCTTTGAGAACACTCTTTCCCAAAGAGAAGATTACAAATTTGCAAACTTACAAGGAAAACCTCACAAGGTAGATTGTTTGCACAATTCTAGAACAAAGAAAAGAACACTCAAAGATGAATACAATTGAGCACAATATGTGTTCTTGAAAGAAAAATGAATATTGAATGAAAATAGGCTTGAAATGCTCAAACTTGAGGTTTGATGCTTTCTCTTTGGTTCTCTCTTGATTCTAGTTGCTTGATGTTTCTTGTCTTTGATCAATGGCTTCTAAGCTTGCTTAAATATACCTTGAATCACTTCTGAACGTTAGGGATAATTAATGAAGATAATATAGCCGTTTAAGTGTGAAAACATTTATTAAAAATGCTTGGAGCGTGGGGGGAATCGGTACCCTCTCATAGGGAATCGGTTCCCTAAGTGTAAAATTCAAATATTTCGACCGTTGAATAGGGGGGAATCGGTTCCCTCCGAGCATTCTGGAAATCTTGGAGCCAAACCATTCAGGGGGAATCGGTTCCCTCTGAGCAATCTGGAATTTTTGGCTTTGAAATGGTTCGAAATACTTTGAAAGATTATTTTGAAATTGTTTTAAGATTAAAACTTAACTTTACACTTAAGTAAGGATTAAAAATGATTTTTGAAATATTTGGAGTAATGTTTTGATATTTCGAATAATTATATCGAATATACTTAGAAAATCATTTGGAAAATCTTAAAATTCATTTAACTTAATTTGTTATATCGAAATATCAAAATGTTTTCAACAATCTCCCCCTTTTTGATATAACAAAACATTTTAGTAATTTTAAGATTTTGAAATCAAGTTTTGAAATTACTCCCCCTTACTCTAACACTTCTCCCATTTTAAAGCATTGAACACTTCTCCCCCTTTTTGTTAAATCAAAAAGACATTTTAAAGAATTTAAACAAGGTTTTGAATCATTTAGCCAATTGATTATATGTTTAAGCTGCTAAGATCACAAGCAAGAGAACGTTAGCCATTAGTTCCATAATCAATATTCATATTATGTGACATGACAAATTGGTCATATGCTAAATTATGTA